ATCTACGACACGAGACACATGGCTTAAAGTCCTTCCCAGAGGACTTGTTCCCTGAATTTTTCCGCCCTTAAACATTCCACGACCTCCGCCGAGTTTGAACTCGCGTACCTTGAATAAAGAGGTGGGAACGTTACCCCTAGACTACGGAGGCCGCTTAGTATTAGGTAAATTGAAAAAATCCACCCCATTGGGACTCCAACCTGCTACCGTCTTGTGACATAGTGCCTCAACCAACTATGCTACCGCATTCCCCATACTTTATTGCATTCTATTAATAGGGTGCATATTCAGAAATTATAAAAATGAATTAGAGTTGTAAGAGATAGAGATATTTTCAATTTTTAATACATAGTGTACTAGCACAGGTTCATATTACATTTTCTTTTATTGCTAGTGGGGTGGGGCTTAGTCCCTTGTACTGCAGCCACTTGTGGCCTATTGTACCAGCCCCAGATGATAGGTGAGGGTGATTGTGGAGCAATTGGTGGAATGAAGATTGGCAAGGGAAACCGAAGTACTTGGAGAAAACCTGCCCCAGTGCCACTTTGTTCAACCCAAATCCCACTTGACCAGACCCAGGACCGAATTCATATTACATGGTAATAGATCTTCAAAAAAATGTGCAACAATGCAATGCAATTGTTTTCTGTAGAATGTAAAACAGTAATATGGCAGTTGTACAATATCAGTATTTAGAATTAGATTTTATGGCAATAACTAATGAACCATGTGGAATTTTGTATGGTGGTAAATCATAAACATACATACATATTCTTCATTAAACCATTTTGTTGTATGTTAACAATTATAATGACAGCCGCACTGTGACATTTTTATATTATATCAGGAACATTTTAAATAAATAAAATCTGTACCTTTGGAAATTATCCACAGAAATGTTCAATCAATTATACAATTCTCATTTCTTGATAGACTAATTATTCAAAGAAAATTAGGCATCATCAGTTCTTCTCAGAACTTCTTGTTATTTAACTTGTATCCCAAAGAAGAAAACACTGTATTATCTTTCAGGCAAATATTGGCCAAGAAGAAGACTTTGAAGCAGCAAAGAAAAAAGCATTGACAATTGGTGCTTCCAAGGTAAGTGACTATGCTTCATTGATTACAAGATTTTATCTTTTTGATCCAGAAGTGGGTGCTTATATTAACTTAGAATTGAATGTGACTATTTTGAAATGACCATTGACTGAAATGCCTTGTGAGAATTAAGAAACTCTTTAGTAGCTATCAATTATTCATGATGATTGAACGTATTTTATACACAAAATATATACCAAGAAAACCTTTTTATCAACCATTCATCCTTACAATATTTATTCTTAAGTCAAATAATAATGTTACCTCCCCATTCCTTTCTTGGTGATTTTTGAAGTGGTGTACCCATAGAATTTCTATTCACAATACATGTTTAGTCTTTTATAACCTTCATTTCATTACACTAACTTACAAGTGACCTGTATAAATAAAAGAAATCCACAATATATAATACTCTAAATTTCCCATTAACTTCATCCCTCTTAGTTACGAAATATTTAATGTACTATTATAGGTCCCCAACACAAACAATATAATATATAAAAAATACAAACAAAATTGGGAAGACCACATTGAGAGGATAGGCTCTGACATGACCCAAAAAAAGGAAGAAGAAGGGTTCTGTTTCGTAATATCTATAACAGGTCTTAATAAGATTAACATTTGGAAGGATAGTAATGGTGATATAAGCCCGTTAACTAGGAAGAGCTGTCTCTGATCTCTACTTAAAAAAGAAAATGACTTTTAAGGTTGAAACAGGTTGTTTTCCACAACCTAATTACAGGAGAACACATTATGATCAGGATAATGATAATCATGTAAATTTGCTTTAATTGTGTAGGTGGTGATTGACGATGTAAGAGCCCAATTTGTGAAAGACTTCATCTGGCCTGCTGTGAGTGCTGGACTGATCTATGAATCTCGCTATCTCTTAGGAACATCTCTGGCTCGCCCTTGCATCTCTCAGGGATTAGTCCACGTAGCCCAGCAAGAAAAGGCACAGTTAATTTCCCATGGTGCAACAGGGAAGGGCAATGATCAGATTCGTTTTGAGTTAAGTTGTTATGCACTGTGGCCACAAGTGAAGGTGAGTTTTACAGTTTCATGCATTCTGGAACAACAGTCTTGTAATTAGAATAAAGGCCTATCAATTGATTTTCTTTGTTTAATTTACTGGGTAAAGTTTCACATCATTATGCTCATGTCTCTTCATAGAAGATGTCCACCTGGGAGAATTTGAGATCTTCTTCATTCTCTCACAGTAACAGACCAAATTTGGAATTTGTTTGAAATATTTCTTTATTGGCTTATAGGTGTTAGCTCCATGGAGAATTGAAAGTTTCACTAAAAGGTTCCAGGGCCGTCAGGACTTAATCCAATATGCGGAAAGTCATGGGATTCCTGTGCCAGTAACACCCAAGAAACCTTGGAGTATGGATGCCAATCTAATGCATATCAGGTCAGAAAGAACTTCCAGCTACATTTTCCCTTGCTCTGAACAGAGTACTCATCTTATCTATTGTACACTGGTACTTCAACTGATAATGAAAGAAAAGTAAAACAAGAATGGGAATGTGTACTCATATTTTCCAAATATATTCTTTGTGGCGACCCTGAGGTACTTGTTATGTCCTTCAGTATGGTCAATTTTGAGGAACTTGCTGTCTTGTACTTCATGATCGACCCTAAGGAATTTGGTGTCTCTGTCCTCAGGGATTCAGTAAGTTAGTCCAAAATGTTCACGATTTTTTGCTATTTTGTCATTGTTCAATACTTGAAGACTGTGCAGTTATTACACAAATTAAATTAGCAGAAATGTATTGAGCTGTTAGGTTAGTACTAATTGTTATCAGCCTGCACTGAGAGCCTTTCTGTGTTTACTCAGAGTGTGCTGTTATTTATGTCTGTAGTTATGAATCTGGAGTGCTGGAGGACCCAGCCAAACCGGCTCCTGATGGAATATTTCACCTGACTGCTGATCCTCAACATGCTCCAGAAAAACCCTGCAAGCTGCAGATCAATTTTGAACATGGTATTATCCAAAAATATATGGAGATTAATGTTTCATTTTCTCTCAAATTATGCGGAGGAGAATATCTTGACTTAAAATAGAGAATGGAGCAGGAAGATACTTACTTCCGGTGTGTCCTCTGTATTGTTTAACATGTGATGTATTTTCTCAGGCATGCCACTTAGCCTAAAGAATCTGACAGAAGGTGGACCTGTGGAAACAGATCCTTTGCAGATGTTGACCACTCTGAACCAGATCGGAGGAAGGCATGGTGTTGGTCGTACTGACATCGTTGAGAATAGATTCATTGGGCTCAAAGTAAGTATTCAGTATTGTAGTTAATATATGTACCTCTGTAACTTTATTACTTTCGAGAAGAACAAGGAATAACAAGTGTCAAAAATAATATAACTTATCAACAGAAATAGCAAGAATATATGGAAAGAATGCATGAAAATTAAATACCAGAACTGCTGAATCAATATAAGCTGAGAGTTAGAAGATACCAGTGTAGAATAACAAAAGGTTTCAAGGAATGGTTTTAATTCTTGTAACAGGAACATACGAAGAGTTTAGTCCATAACACTGATGACGATGATGACTGCAGTGTTGAATAAATGTGAAGTTTAAGGAACACTGATTTATAGATTATTATATGATGGTGCATTAATTGGAAAAATTATATAGTATTGAATGAGATTTGGTAGAATTACTATGAGTAATCAATGGGGAGAGAAGTTGAGGGATGGTGCTTTGGTCTATTCTAAATAATATACTGGAGTTTGTCTGAAGATACTGAGATAAACAATGGAAAACTCAGAAGGTCCTCCCTTTAGCCAGGATTCGAACCGGATTAAAAACTGAATGTGCATCAGATGTGTCACATATGTACAGTTTGTGCCAAAAATACAGTACTGAAACTCGCGCATCTCGAACATGCATGTGCGTTTTTCGACGGGACATAGCTCCTGCCACACGAGTTCCCAGTAGTGAAAAGGAAGTTGTGTTGTGCAGTTGTTGGAAATGGTCTCTCGATGGAGGAAAAAGTATTCACAGTTGAGTATTATTTCTGCTCATACGGAAGTGGTTGCCAGAAAACTCACTTCCTTGGTTTTGAGCAGCCAGATGTTATCGTCAAGAAACCGCTACACAGTACACGTGTGACGATATGGTGTGCCTTCTCAGCACACGGTATATTAGGCCCCTATTTCGTTGAGGATGGGGAAGGAAATGCTCTTACCATCACCCAAGAACGCCACAGGGAGATGGTGATCGGACAGTTTCTTCAGGATTTGAGATTCTGTCATCAAGGGGCCTTCACATGAATAGAGAGTGGTATCAAGTGGACTTCTTTTCATTTCAGTACTGATATTTTGGGGCATATATGTTTTGTAGGGTTAATTTTTTCTGATGACAGAAATCGCCAAATTCTCCACTAAGAGGAATTAATCTTACTGTATTGCTATTCTATGAATGATAAATCCTTTGTCCTTCTCTTGACAGTCACGTGGTGTTTATGAGACACCTGGTGGTACTATACTGCATGTTGCCCACACAGACCTGGAGACTTTCTGCCTAGATCGAGAAGTCCTGCGCTTGAAGACTTTCCTCCGAGACAAGATGGCAGACTATGTATATAATGGTAATGATATTAAATTAAAACCAGCAACTTCTGTGATTGAAGTGCAATTTCAGAAAATTTCCTGATATCAGATACTTATAACCAACAACACAAATGAATTTCCGAAAGAAAGTACCATGTAATAAAATTAATGAGAAATGTTGTATTATGTAGCTAATATCTACTGCTCAGACTGAACATGATACAAGAGTTAAATGAGTATCTTATTTGGGGGGGGGGTAAGAGAAGAAAACTGGTTGTCATTATATTGATAGATTTTTTATTACTATTTATTTTAAGATTAAAATTACATGATCAGTACAACAATATGTCACCTGAAGATGAGAGTACAGCAATTATAATTATGTATAATTATGAAGTGTAATGTAGTGAATAGCTTCACAGTCTGTCTCAATGATATTAATATAACGTATTAAAACTATAGCAAAATTAATTACTCCACAATATAAATCCTTGTCTTTTTATTAATTTTAAAAACATATAATTCATTTTTAGAAAATTTAAAATTAAATATGTCAAATATTTTAATAGACATAAAGAGTAAGAGAGGTGTTTCTTCTAAGTTCTAACGAATGCAAAAAAAAATTCCTCTGTATGCTAGGATGAATGGTTCTCGAGAAACAACAAGAAACTCTTTTCTTTGGAGGGTTTTCCAGAAGTTTCTGAAGGGTTCTGAAGTGTCTGGAACCTCATCTTCCCATCCACTGCTCAGGACAGGTCACCTGGCTTCTGAAATTACCAAATCTCACATCCCATGACTTGTTTTTTCAGGTTATGTGAAAATGCTGTGCATGGGTGTACAGGGCAGGTGGCCAATACAGATACCAAGATCAATGTGTTTGTTGATAGCAGTAACTCCAGAGATCGGCCACACCATAGCTCAAGCGGTTAGTCGCTGGCTTCCCACCAAAGCCGCCTGGGTTTGATCCCAGGTCTGGTCAAGTGGGATTTGTGGTGGACAAAGTGGCGCTGGGGCAGGTTTCCTCTGAGTACTTCGGTTTCCCCTGCCAATCTTCATTCCACCAATTACTCCACAATCACCCTCACCTATCATCTGGGGCTGGTACAGTAGGCCAGAAGTGGCCGCAGTACAAGGGACTTAGTCCCACCCCACTAGCAAAAAAAAAAACACTCCAGAGATGGGCTAAAATGGTTTATTGGCTATTTATCTGTCGCCTAGCGAATGTAACGCACATGGAAATTTATTGACAAACATTTATTGAGCTAGATTTAATTTCAGTAAATTGTTCCTTCAGTATGTATAATGGTTATAGACATACCCCCTTCAAAAACCCCGGAGTGTGTCACAAAAAGATAATAAGCTATATATTGTTACCTAGTAGGAATTTTTCTGAAGTATTTTATTCTTAAATTTTATGAAATCACTGTGACATTGCTTTTAATTCACAGAGCATTGCTATTGATTTCTATGTTGTTATAGGATTCTGGTTCAGCCCTGAATGTGAGTTTGTTCGGGAGAGCATTGCTCTCTCACAGCGCTATGTCACTGGCTGGGTACAAGTGGAGTTGTACAAGGGCTCAGGTAGGTTACCATTAACATTTCTACAAAATCTTTCCAAAGTTACCCAAATAGTACAGACCAGCATTTATATCACAGACTCACATTTATCTTTCTTTCACTTCTGTTTACTGATATTGAGTATGGTCAAATTTTATTATAATATAATTATATTATAATAATTATTGTATATATTTATAACAACATTTTTGAGTATGGTCCTTTTTGCATGAAGGTTCAGAACAAATTACACATGGGGGAGAGGAAGCCAACAGAGACTACAGGTATACACATTTCTCATGACTACGTGACAGTGGTGAGTCACCAGGTGTGGCCAGATGATCTGATCCCGCCATACTGTTATAACTTTGGCATAAAACACAGATGGGTGAACAAGAATTTCACAGAGAATTATGATGAGAAAAAAGTTCTAAGTATGGCATCTTAAAGGACAGAGGATTAAGTGAATAATGTTTAAAATAAATCTCAGATAAAACGTTACCAGTATGTGAACTGGTTGAACTAGGTCAGGATAGATTTCAAGGGTACAGTTTAGTAACGTTAATGGTGTTGTTCATATTCAAATTATAGAGAAAAAAGCTTCCGTGTGCTTTAGAAAATGTCATAAAGATAAATATGAGTATGTAGATACAGCTCCATGGCCATCTGCTTGCTCTGGTTCCCTGTACGCTGTGGGTGAAGTGTCGCCTTCCCATCTGCATGATCAGACACTGGAGGTGGTGATAAGGTAAAATGGTCCAAAATGCCTGACTGAGGAATGAGACCTCTATTATCCTTTGTTGAGAGATCTGTCATAACACAGGTTTAGTTATTGTGGCAGATTCATGCAAACACCTCTCCAGGCATAAATCATAAATTGTTTTGATATTTCAGTTCACTGTCACATTCATCCTAATGGCTTCCTATAATTTATGACAGTACTTGATTCATCAACATCATCTGCAAGGACTGAACTTGGTAGCTAGTTCATTCCTCAGACATCAGTCTGGTAATTCAATCTTTGAGGAGTACCACTAATCCTTTTTTTTTTTTTGGCTTGAGCAGGTTACCAGCCTGTTGCAAACCACTCCTGTACCCCTGTCTTGGAGACCCAGGTTGTTTATCCACCGTTTCATTCCCTTAGGCAAGTTGCTTGCCATGGCTAATGAGTCCTGTCTACCTTCCATGTACCAGGTGCTACCCACTGCACCAGTGGGACCTGGAGTTCGCATGCAGCAGGGTCACCATTCCCTGTAGTTCGACTGCCTCTTATAAAAGTTCCAGCTTACTGCCTCAAATGTTGGTTCATTATGCCAGTATACTGGACTCACTCTCTGGGATTTAATATATAAACAACATTCTGCAATTTCTCTCTGCACCATCTTCATGTGGCTGGTTGTTGTTGTACGGATGCATTCCTTTATTACCTCATATTTTTTAAAAGTTTATTTCGGATTTTCGGTGAGGGTTGTGATGAATTCAGCATTTTTCTAATTTAACTTGTCTCATTTTGGTCCGTCACACTATTAATTACAGAGTAGATAATGAAAAGTTCAGTCCAGTGTGACATACAAGTTTATAACACTTCAGTTCTCATTCACCTTACATGTTTCGATTCAAAAGAATCATCTTCATAGGCGCACCACTACGATAAGGAAACACTGTTACATAAGATATTCTAACAATATGCACTTTAGATATGACTAATGCTCTCTATATAAATTTTGTTATCACGTTGGTTCCGATGTTTATCTTAGGCACGCACAATGGTGCTTCTTGAAATGTAGATTTACTTATGATGAGCTTCTTTTAGTGTATTTCCTGGTTATTCTGACTAGGGTTTTTCACTGCACGCAATATGGTGTTCACTTTTCCATACATTAGCCTCCAAATGTATTTAAAATTGTATTAAAATTTCCATGTAAACAATTAGTTATTATGTTAAAATATCTTGATCCGACATTGGGTCATGTTGTTTTCCTCCTGATGGTGGGAGATGTCGTGTATTTCTCTTGATTTTATGTTCTTATTATTAGTCGTGTAGTTTACGTGCGTGCTGTGTCATTTGCACTTATTGTCGTTTGTACTCATTTTCTACTCAGCATTTTTCAATATTAGGCTAGGCCACTAATAAAGAGAGCAGCTGGGAGGTTATCGTTAGTATTTGGAAGATCCTTGGTTAGATCCTACCAGTCACTAATTCTCTTATGAAGACATACTAAAAACATCTGTTCTAGTTCGAGTGCTGGCTCGAAATTCTCCGACAACTCTCTACAACCAAAATCTTGTGTCCATGGATCAGCATGGAGACTTCCAACCTAATGATGCCACAGGATTCATCAACACTCACGCCATTCGCCTGCGAGAGTTTCAACGATTCAAGACACAACTTGAAGAGGGTCAGGTCTGATAGATATTGTGTAATACGTTTTCTTAGAGTACATCTTACTCAGTGTAGGCAAGGCAACTGCAGAAAGAAAAGTCCTGTATGTTTAACGAGCTCGCCGGTATAGTAATGTTGGTTCCCATCATCTGTTGAAAATAGAATCTAGTGATTTTTTAACGATAGAATAAAGACATACGTCACTATCTGATGATGATGTGACCTCAAAGCTTATTATACACATGTCAGCTCGTCTCACTGTTCACCAGCAGTGGACTGACTACTTCAGAAATAATTTCAATTAAACATTGGCTTCAAATCCTAAGTATTCACTGAGTTTATTAAATAAGTTTTAGCTGACTATAAGTTGTAATTTTGGAATTTGGAATGTTGTTTCTACGTTTCAGAAGCTGTGTGAGTTTCTGTAGTGTACCGTGTGTATGAACAGGGGATAAAATACAACATAAGCACGAATATAAAACGACCCCATATTTTTCCAATGACAAGATCAGGAAAAAGTGGATTTGAAAAAACTGAATATGTCATTTATTTCTACAGGTTGTAAGAAAATTGAAATAAAAACTATTTTATTAAGAAATAATAAATACAAAATATAATACCTTAAATAGCAATTCTAGGTATTTAAAAATGTGATTGGAATCATGTTCTTCATACTTATTCTTATCCCTACCACTATTATTATTAGAGACCAGAAAAAAGATGACCCATCTTGCAGTATTTGGAAAGAGACCTCGCCTTATATTCGGGCTAATACGGAAAATCGTTTCGTGTTTTATGAACACATGTAAGTATCTGTAGCAGTGCGGGTAGTTTCTTTTAGGTGTTTCTTAGTCTCCTGGGGTGAGACTGGGTCCATTTGGTATGTAGGCCACTAATTGGCCTATTATACCAGTCTCGGATGATAGATAAATATGGAGCAGTCGGTGGAACGAGAATTGGCAGGGGAAACCGAAATGCTCATAGAAAATCTGCTACAGTGCCACATTGTCTGCCACAAAACCCACATGACTTGACCTGGGCTAGAACCGGGAGACTAACTTCCTGAGCTATGGAACAGCCTTAGCAGTGTGGGTAGGGGTATCAGCTGGAGATTTTAGGAAGGACACTTCAGTATAATTAAGCATGACTGTATGGCATAGTTTATGAACACAAACAAACAAACAAACAAACAAAACAGACATACAATAGCTTTACGGCACTACACCATTTGATGTGATGAGAAATGCTGGCGACATTATAACACACTACGGCGTGGAAAATGTTGAAATACATTGGCTTAGACCACTGCGTATTTCCTCTCGTCTTTTCACGACGCGAAACGGACATTTCGAGCAGAGGCAAACATTCAGTGCAATATAGTGGTGTGATGCTCTCAGAGTCTAGATCGTCTGGATGGAGTTCCGGTAGGTAGCATAGCAAGTTGCAAGGGAGAAAGTATGCTTTTTGGAGAGTTCCTGTTTGAGACAGTTTCGGAATGAAGAGTCTGACCTGGCACAAGAAGTCTGTTGCCGACTGCGCGTGTTTGTGATGTCACTGAGCATGTTTTCACTGAAATGTTCTTTGCGGCTGCTATGGCTAAGTATCTCACTGCATAAACCGAGCATTCATTTTCCCTTGTATTTTATTATACATTCACGAGATGGAGAAATCATCATCATTGTCGTCAATCATCATTAGTAACAGCAACAAGAGATTCATAGATTGCATCGTAGTATTAGTAGATGCTTTGGACTCAAAGGTTTATATTCAGAATAACATCAAATAGAAAACAAACTCCGTGGTTTTAGTCCGCAAGCGAACTATACTGACCGAGCGACCACCGCTGTTTATGTTTTATGGAGGCCCCGAGGTGATCTCCACGGTCGGTCCTCCTTAAATCCGGCCTTTCGTCTTCAAAACTACACCTCATATAAAAGAAGTGGACCTATGATGTAAAATACACGTCTCAAGAGGATGTTCAATTTTAATGTGAAACACTTTTCTGCACAGTGCAGGCCCTATACTAGACACGAGAAAACTGAATTACTTACCGGTATTGTGGCATTTATTTGTTCTGCAATAATGGAGTTACACTTCAATCAGTGAATATCAGAAGATCCAAAGTCACAAAGAGCGCTTATGGAAAATGCGTGTAGTCCAAATTCGAGTATAGTTTTCCATCTTCATGTAGTTTACCATTAAATGTATTTAAACATATACGTATTCTGTACATTCTTGTCTCAATAATTACTTTTTCCTGGCGAGGACATTCAAGATACATGACAGTTATTTTTTTCTTACAAATTATTCTGAAAGTAAATAAAACATTCTAATATTGAGGTGTACTGGGAGGTTAATATTGTCACGTGTATGAGTGACTATAGACGGGGTTTGGATTGGTGAATAGATTTATTGACCACTTACAGGTCGTAATTACAAATAACTGTAAAATTATTCCACACTTTACAACTGACTGGAGCACACAATCTAGTGTTCTCAGTTTTCTTTCACTAGATGTTTCCTGGTAACGGCTCCAACAATGACTATTTCTCTGCCTCCGACTCAAATCCTCTCTTCACTGATTCCCGTACAGAACTCTCTGTCAACTGACTTCGCCCTTTGCTTATAATATATCGGTATGGACCACGTAGATATAATCCTTTTCCATTGTTGTAGTCAATCTGTTGCATTATTAAGAATCTGCTGCCTAACAATGGGAACGTGTTTATCGAGTCGTTTCCCAGAAACGGTCGCTGTTTACAGAGTCACCGCTTAGCAACGGGTCTGCGAGTAAATGCTACAATACTCAAAACAAAACTCTATTGCACTTATTTATTTGTGGTTTAGTGAACAAATGCAGAGGTAGCCGAGATCAGGCTATATCGCGCCGAATGTTACGATGATTAGTGAACAATGAATTGCAGACAATGCGGAAGTGACTGTGGGCCATTATGCGGAACTATTCCGGTTTTTGTCTGGAGTGACTAAGATATATCACGAAAAACTTAAGATTAAGATTAAGATATACGATTTCCGGGCAAAGATATGAATTTGGGGGCCTTCAGAAGTTCTAAGCACTCAGAAGTTGGCATTCAATACAATACGTACTATCATGTACATGAAACAGCGACCGAAGGGAAATGAAGTGACAGGAAGTTATAGAAAACTGCATAACTTTTACTCTTCGCTAAATATAATTAGAATGATCGAGACAAGGAGGATGAGATAAGCAGGACATGTAGCATTAATGGAGGAGAAGAGGAATGCGTATAGGATATTGATGGATAAGTCAGAAGGAAAGAGACCACTAGGAAGACCAAGGCGTAGGTGCGAGAATAATGTTAAAATGGATTTTAGATGGGATTGTGTGGTTTGGATTGTATTAATCTGGCTGAGGATAAGGACAAATGGAGGGATTTTGTGAACACGGTAATGAAACTTCGGGTTCCATAAATGCTGGAAAGTTCTTTAATAACTTCACCACTGATGACTTCTCAAGAAAGGCTCAGGTTCATGAAGTTAGTTAGTTAGTTAGTTAGTTAGTTAGCTGAAACACTTCCCCATATTTTCATTTGAGCTCTACTTTATAAAGTTGATTAGAAACTTTGTTCATGAGTTTATTTGAACTACTCCGTTGGCTTCGCTAAATATGTCACAAAATTATTAAGCCGTATCCATCAAGATTATATACAGCATCAATAAGTTTAATGTTACTATAGCAATGAACAAAAGAATATGCTCTAGATTTTTTCAATAGTCTGTAACAATGCCCATAGCAATAGCATCTTATCAGCGTTCATGCTTGGCTGAGTCCTTTAACAAGTTCAACAATTCCCCCTGACTAAGTTGCCGGACTGGCGTGACTTCATTTATACATATCAAGTTACCCTGTTCCACGGGAACGTTACCATGTCTATTCACGGAATTTGCTGAACCTCATCTAATGTTATTTCCTTACAGTCTACGCAGAAGGCCGTTCGTTCGAGACCTAACCATCAACAGGAAGTAAACATTTTGTGTTGTACCAGGATAAGCTTACCTTTTATTCAATTATTGCACTAATTATTTACAGCCGAAAGATTCTGAAAAGTAACTGACGTTCACAATGTAATTTAAAATAACAGCATCTTTCACGATTTAAATTGGAATTATTTAAACTTACAAACAATTCTAAGAGAATGAAGGGGTATACAAATAGGCAAGAGCAAATCATTCCTCTTGCATTGAGATCACTTCACTTCCCCATGAGGGCCTGCTGACGGATGCAGTAAGTGGGTTCTACACAGAACTCCAGTGCTTCTGCCATTCATTATACTGGTAAAAGGGTATCCCTGTAACAGGCCGTGAAGGCCCATAGGGTTGTGAGATTCTAGACAATCGGCTAACAGATGGCGGTGAGGTTGTAAGCCTTACGCGCCGGCCGCCCTTTGTCCCCATGAATATTCCTAGTACTCATTTCTGTTAGAGGCTGTGTCGACCCCAGGGCCATAGTGCTGCTGGAAGGATTAGGTAAATCTAAAAAATCCACCTCACCGGGATTTGATCCCGCGACCTTACGGCTTGTAGCATAGTGCCTCAACCAAATACGATACTAAGAGCTCCCTTTCATTATACTGCACAACACATTTTCAGTACTGTTAGCGTTAACAATTGTGAAGTTTTACCTGGAGTCCCGTTAATTTTATGTAAATTTTGCCTGAGAAGCTAGAGTAAATTAACTTTTCCATGACAGCAACGATCTGATTTGTTGTTGTTATTATTATTATATTATGTATGCAAATCATTAAGAACTGCACTTCAGTACCCTGCTTATTCCAGTGGCTCTCGACAGAGATGGGACAAACGATTTTGTTCATAATTTTTCCATTTGCATATATGAAATACGTTTGACCCCTGAAAAAGAATTTAAAAATAATTGCATTGTTGCTATTACTATTATTTTTGTGCCTTATTAAACGACGCTTTTAGTAGCGAGTCTATATAGCGTCGGACCACAGGGTGACTGATGAATGATGGTTTGGAAATGATTCCGAAGACTGAGTTTTTAACGTAATCGAATAATTATCGCCGATCGAGAGTCGAACCTAGCATCTACTGATTACAAGTCTACAGCGTTATCTATAAACCAACGTGTTCTGTTCTTATTATAATTAACTGCATGGGCGTGTCCTACTTCTTAGTGCCATCGTTTCTCAGTTATTTAAGAAATTTCCGGAATTATGTGGAACCTGAGGAGTTATTTTCGGGTCTACAAGATACTGGACCTCATCCTGAGCCTGACGAATCCAATCCAGACCCTTAGACTCTGTTTTTGTAAGGTCCACTTTAATACAATTTT